AAAGCCAGGAAAAAGATTAGGATTCTGTTCAATCAATAGGTAGATACTAAAAACTCAAAAAACAGTTATGGACAAAAGCTAAAATCTAGTAACAAGTGCATTGTAATTTTCTTCTGAAACATACTTTTGTCTTTCCATTCCCCCTTTTAAACAAACTTAACTGCAAAAAAAGAATGCTCACAAATATTTTCCAATTCCAGAGGGGTCAGGAAGAGAGAAAAGTTTGTTTCAATTAAAAAAAAAATGAACAAATTGCTGAACCTATCAACAGCGCAAATGAAAATAAAAATCCTTAAATCTGGAAGACAAAGCATAGAAGAAAATCAGTAATGTTTTAGTCAAAAGTCATAAAATTCTACTTCACCAGTTCTCTCTCATGTAATTAACCTCTCTTCTGTTGAATATGCAGTGTTACTATGGTCTGATCGTTCTGTTTAAACACTTAAACACTGGAAGTTAATGTTCAACATTATTATTGATATTTCTGGACTTGTCCCTACCATTGACTATTTTCTTGGTCATTTCTTGTTCTCTTATTTCTGTTTTTAGGTTTCCTAATATAGCACACCTTTCAGAGCTTCTTAAAGAGCTGGTCTGATGTAAATTCTTTCAGGTTTTGTTTATCTGAGAAAGCTTTTATCTTTTCTTCCTATATGAAGGATAATTTTGGCAGGGATAGTATTCTTGGTTGACATTGTTTTTCATTTAACATTTTGAATGTATTTTCCCATTCTTTCCCTGCTTGCATTGTTTCGGATGGGAGGTCTGACTTTAGCCTGATGAGATAACCTTTGTAAGTAACCCGATGTTTCTCTTTTGCCAATTTTAGTATCTTGTCCCTCTCTGGTTTTGGCTAAACTGGCTATGATGTGCCTTGGAGAAGATCTTCTTGGGTTGATTCTAAGTGGGGTCCTCTGTATTTCTTGGATCCGGATATTTGAATGCCTCTCTAGGTTAGGAAAGTTTTCTTCCAGGATTGCATGGAATTATTATCAATGCCCTTTTTAGTTTCTTCACCTTCTGGAGTATCTGGATGTTTGGACACTTAATGGTATCTAGTTATTTTTAGTATATTATTCCCCCCCCCTTTTTTTTTTCTCAGTCTTTTTGGCGATTTTTTCTAGTTCAGAGGTTTTGTCTGTTTACAAGATTTGACCTTCTGTATAGTCTAAACTGCTCTTAATACTATCAAAGGAGGTTTTCATCTCCTGTATTACAACCTTCATCACTAACAGCTGTTTGATTCTTTTCTTTTTTAAATAATTATTTAACTTTATTTATTTTAATTTGACTAGCAAGAGATAAAGAAATAGAGTGGGGGGGAAGGGAGGGGGGGGGAGAGAGAAGAGAGAGAGAGAGAGAGAGAGAGAAAGCTGCTAGGTTCGGCACTCGAACCATGGTTGGTCATGTGATAGTTCAGTGCCTTTAACCACCACACCACATGTTGGCTCTGTTTGATTTTTTTTTATGGTCTATATTTCTTCTTTCAAATTGTGGAAGAACCTCCTCCTCTCCTGGAATTCATTTGTTTCTCTTGCATCTTCTGGAGTTTATTTCTCTTTTCTTGCATCTCAATTAGTTTTGTCACTATGAAGTCTGAATACTTGGGACCAGCGGTTAGCGTAATGGCTATGTTGCTGGACTCCTATGTAGTCGACCACGGTTTGAGTCCCAGACCTGGTGGCTTAAACTCACGCCAGGCGCGTGTGCGTGTGGGCCCAAGATCCCGAGAGGAGAACGGAGAAGGGATTGTGGCGTGGCCATCCCCCTGGGGGGTGATTTCTCGCTTTCTGTCTCTGTCTGGTGAGCGCACATACCCTATAGCAACAAACCTCTCAAAAAAAAAGTCTGAATACACTTCCACAAGTTCCATTTTACTGTCTGTGGATGATGACAGGTTGTTCTTTTCCCTTGAGAGAGAGGCATTTTTTTGCTTTCTCATATTTCTTGTCTCTCTGCAGTGGTTTCTGGTCATTGATAGGTCATGTTTCTTCCTAATTTCTTGGAGTTAATTCTGAGCGTTCAGAGGTGTGCGGAAGATGACCCAGAGTCTCTCTTTTGTGTCCCTGAAGCTCCCCGAGCAACCTGCGCTTTTGTCATCGGAACTGGGTATTACAAAGGCCTCCCAGTTTCTAATGAATGGGTGCATCTGGGCTGAGCAGCAGGATTTCAATGGAGTACAGAGGTGTGTGGGAGATGAGCTGCCTTCTCTGTAGCTCCGTATTTCTTCTTGCTGCACACTTTGCAGTATCTCTTTTCTGATTTTTAGTCATCTGCTGGTATATTCACTTCTGGCTAATTTGTTGGAGAAAGTTTCTGCAACTGTAAGCTCATATGCTCCCCTTTACTGTGAGGTACTTCTGTGCCAGTTAAAGGAGCAGGGCCCACCTCAGATGTAGATGAATTCTGTCTGGGCGTTTTGGTCTGGAAGCTCTAATTATGTAATTTTACAGGCCAAACTAGATATGATCCAATTGCTTTGGTACGCAAAATGAATAAAATTAATAAAAAATAAATCAGTAAAGATACTGTGCAGATAAACCCAAACCTTTCTTTTATTGAAAATATTTCTAACAGTGCTACTATTAGGGTGAAAATTTCTTTACAAAGGACAGCAAGTCAATTTATTAATTTTTTTCGAGAAGTTTTTGCTATAGGGTGTATACGCTTGCCAGACAGACAGAGACAGAAAGCGAGAAATCACCCCCCAGGGAGGATGGTCACGCCGCAATCCCTTCTCCTCCATTCTCCTCTCGGGGTCTTGGACACGCACGCACATGTGACCGGTGTGAGTTTAAGCCACTGGGTCTGGGACTTCAGGCAGACTACATGGGAGTCACGCGACATAGCCATTACGCCAACTGCTGGTCCCACAAGTCACCTTTTAATGCATATGCACAAACCTCAAGTTGTACTTAAGTAAATTCTGTGAACTCCTGGAGATACTAATTTTAACATTTGTAACTGGAGTTTTTTTCCTGGAGTATTCTTGAAGTCTGCTAACCCTGAGAACCATCTGTGGCTCCAACCTCCAGTTCATCAGGGAGTGGGGAGTTATCTGTGGCAGTCACTGCAGACAGTCTTGATCTTATTTTTCTTCCTCCTCTGTCCCATTGACAAGACACTACTATGAGTTTTACCAAGGATGGTCCCAAGAATTTGATAACACTCTTTAACCTACATGTTGGAGGAATTTGGCAACTTTCCACATTGCAATTTATGAGTACTCATTCCTTCCAGGTGTCCAGGCTAAAAACCTGGGATTCAACCTTTACTTCAATTCCTACCTCATATCCAGGTTACAGAGATCCTGTGAGGGAACCAGCAGTTAGCATAATGGCTATGTTGCTGGACTCCCCTGTAGTCGACCGCGGTTAGAATCCTGGACCTGGTGGCTTAAACTCAAGCCAGGCGCATGTGCATGTGTGCCCAAGATCCCAAGAGGAGAATGAAGGAGAAGGGATTGTGGCGTGACCATCCTCCCTGGGGGATGATTTTTCGCTTTCTGTGACAAGTGCTTTCTGTCTCTCTCTCATTCTGTCCTCTCTGATCAAATTAAAATAAATAAATAATTCTTAAAAATCCAGCCATAAACCAATCACATTTTACCACTTCCATGGCTACCACCATCATAGTATTTCAGTATTTTACCTTAATTATTGTAATAATCTTTTTTTTGTGTGTGTGTGTGTGTTAGATGACATGTGTGCTCGCTGGGTAGGGGGAGGTGGGGAGGGGGAAAGAGAGAGAGAGAGAGAGAGAGAGAAAGCACTCCCATGTAGGAAAGCCATACTACAATCCCTTCTCCACCCTCCTTGGTATTTTGGACACACACACACGCTCGGTGTGTCTCAAGCAGCTGGGTCTGGGACTGGAACTGCATAGTCAGCCAGTGGGATCCAGCTACTTGCACCAAGACCACATAACAAAGCACCACTGGCAGGCCCACAATACTCTTAACTGGCTCCCCAGGTTCCACTCCCCCTCCTTATGGTTTATTCTTAACACAGGGGCCAATATGATCTCTTCCACATGAAATTACATGAGGCTACTGGAGCACTGCAAACATTTTCTATCTCCCATCTTACCTGGAGAAAGTTAAGCACCTCCCCCAAATCCTATGTGGTCCTAAGCCTTCTAACTCCCTCTCCAGACTTCCTCTCATTCATACCTTCTGACCTTACTTTTTACCTCCTACAGCAGGGAATGATTCTCCCCCATGCATCTGCATGGCTATTTAGTACTTCCTCTTCTCTTGAATGCTACCTTCGGGAGGTCTGTCCTACTCTATTTAAATGTGCGTGTCTACACATACCTTAGCATCTCCTATCCAGTGCTCAAGATTTTTCCATAGTGTTTATCCCTGTCTAATACAGAAATGCCCAAACTGGGACTAGTAGTTAGCATAACGGCTATGTCACTGGACTCCCACGTAGTCGACCACAGTTCATGTCCCGGACCCAGTGGCTTAAAACTCACGCTGGGCGCGTGTGCGTGCGTGCCTATGATCCTGAGAGGAGAATGGAGGAGAAGGGATTGCGGCGTGGCCATCCTCCTTAGGGAGGTGATTTCTCACTTTCTGTCTCTTTGTCTGTCTGGTTGAGTGCATGCACCCTATAGCAAAAAAAAAGGTCGGTCTGTGGGAGTGCAAGCACCCTATAGAAAAAAAAAATCCTCCCAAAAAAAAAAAAAAAAAAAAAAAAAAAAAAAAGAAATGCCCAAACTATGGTCCTCAGGAACTTTCTAGAAAGTTCCCAATGGATGTGGATGGTCCAGAGCCCCACTTTTAAGAACCACTGTTTCAGGAAAATCTCTTCTAGACTCTCAAATACTCTTATTTGGGTTGAGCTAAATTACGCAAATTTCAGGAAATAACAGCCCTTAGGGATCACCTTCAAACTCAGAAGGTGAGGCCCTTGGTCCACTGAGTTTCTGACTGGGCAAAAATGGGATAGGCCTGAAATATGCATTTCTAATAATCAGCCTTTGAGAACCACTGGTTGAATATAGTCTATGATACACTTTTTATTAAATTTGTCTTTTTCTTCCCCATTTGAATGTAAACTCTGTAAGAAAGGACATTTTTGTTTTTTGCTGTTTCCTTTTGCAAAAAAACAATGCAGGCACAAAGTAGCTGTTCAACAAATACATGTTGAATGAATAAATAAAAAGTTTATCCTAGTGTTACATCAGAAAATGTCTTCTAATTTTATCTTGTCAGACTCGATATAAAGAAATACAAATACAAAGTTAGAAAACATTATGTAGTTCAATTCCCTCATGCAAGAAAGCACTTTTAAGTGTTGGGCCACAGAAAAAACACATATTCCTTTATATGTGGGAAATACATTATTAGTAACAATTCTCATGATTCCTATAGCATTAATATAAACAGCAGTGAACATTTATGGAATGCTGCCACGTGCTAAGCACGTCATGTATTGTACCTCATTCAATTCTCATAGCACACTGCAAGGGGGCTAGTGGTGTCACTTACATTCTACAGAGAAGGGCTCCAAGTGCACCTGGTTGCCCATTTATCAGTAGACTCCTCAGTTTGCATTGTTTCCTTCTAGCCCTGTGCTCTCCCAGTTGGGAGCCAAAAGGTAAGGTGTGAAATAGGAAGTGATAGCTTCACCTTTTACTGTTCAGACATGTTTAGGCCTGAATTAAAATGAGCTGAACTGTATTTACCTCTTATGAGATTCAAGGCCATCAAAGTCATTTTGCTATTACAGTAACATTCTAGAAAACTACACTGAAAGTCAGGATTTCTAGGTGCAAATTTTGAACTCTATATAGCTTGTGAAAAATATGAAATGTTTTTCTAAGAAACATTTTAGAGACTTATTTTTTTGCAATAATTTAGAATTCTGAATACTAATTCTACAAAAGCTTGTACAATAGCATTACATTTATACAGACAAAATTTGACACAAATGATTTAGTGGCTAACTTCCTTTCAAATAAACTGTTAGAATAGGTCTCAGTAAATTCTTTTCATGAAGGGCAAGACAGCAAATATTTCAGACTTAAGAGCTATACTACTCTGCAGTAAAGGAAAACAACCATAGGGATTAACACATATTAGTGGATATGGTTCTGTTCTGATAAAACTTTATTTACACAACAAGTGGTCAAGCCCATGAGCTATAGCTTGCTGAGTCCTTTATTAAAGGATTCTAATTTTAATGATTGACTTGGAGGCATAACTGAAATGGAGCAGGTTAAGTTTCAGGTAGTTTTGGCAAATTTATCCCACCCCCCCTTAATGTTTCTTACTACAGAAACATCTGTACTCCTGTAACTAAAACTAAAACTAAAAATGCAATTCTAGCATGCAAATGAAAAGACATTTGGCTCTATAAAGGTGAATTAGTTAAAAGAATCCTTGTTTATTTTTTTACACAGCACAAATGCAGATGACACACTAAGTCTATAATTCCCCACAAAACTTGTAAACTTAACAACTAAGAATCTAAAGCATTATCTTCTGCATCATTCACAGCTATACACTCTGTGGAATCCATTCCACAGCAGCAGAGAACCTTAACTTAAAAGCACCAAATTTCCAGGCATTACTACAGTATCTTTTTTTCATTCTCTAATACATGCAGATTGCCTATGATGCAAATATAAATTTACTTTAAGCTTCAAGAGTAAGAAAAAGCAGATGGGAAACCAACATTATTCTTAAGTATAAAAGTGATTCTACATCTTTACCTTATTATATGTCCTTTCACGAAATTTTAAACTTTCAGTGTAGCCATATTTAATAAGAATATAAACTGAGTTTTGAACATCATCTCTTTTGGATTCATCTAATCGCTTAGGATATTCATATTTGTTCCATAAGTCTTGAGGAAAACAAAAGTATGATCTGTAATCTAGAATATCCTAGAAATCTTTATTAAAAGTTAAATTTAAAATTTTATAGCAAAGTATTATGGTCTGCTTGTTCAAACATTATAGATTAAAAAAAAATCCTTTATGTATGTGAATTAAGAAACAAAGCTTACTCCTAATATACATTTTGTTGAGATGTGGTTTCACTTCTGAAGCAGGGCTAAATGGGTATCTTTAGAATCTTGCTAACACCAGCCCTACGTACCCAGAGATTATTGGATCCATTAAATGGACAGTGAAAACTGGTCAAGGCTGCTGCTCAGTGTTTCAGTAGGAATCTGATACACACAGATTTCATTGTCATATTCAAGTCTTCTTTAAAACTGTGCTCCTGAAAGGCTGAAGATAAAGTAATGGACTGTTAGTTCCTTATGCCAAAAATACACAGATCTGTTGTACAAAGGCTTCATTCTCTGCCTGTTGTCAGCAACTTGAGGGCCTTCTGTAGATTCTGTACAGCAGTGCTGACATCTTCATACTGCAAAGCACTGCCAGCATATTTGCAGTATTTCTGAGCTCTAGCAAAGTCCTCTGGGGTTAAACGAATATCCCCTGGAAGAAAAAGAATAATTAGGATACTCATAAGAATATTAAAAGTGTTCTGTTAGGTAAATCCTTATATTCAACATTAAAGAAAACATTTTATGTTATAATAAAAATTTAGGATTTTACTTTTCTAATCTCAATTGCATTTTGATAAATTTTCTTCCTTCTTTTCATGTTTTTATTACTAAAATAAACCACAGCTATGTCAATATGTATTAACTTATGTGAGTAAGTTTTCCTTCAAAAAGTAACAGACTTCTAGAAAATTTTATTCTTTTAGAAAATTAATTACAAAAAGTTTTAGTTTGTATCAAACAAGAACACTAGCTTTGGTGTTTATGTTAGAATCACTGAGCCTCTCTCTCTTCATGGAACAATACACACAGACTAAACCATTCAACCCTCATTTGAGCTAGAATATAAATATAATCCTCAATAAAAAAAGTGAGTAGCAAACTTATGCAAAAAGTGATGTCATTTAACTTTGATGTAATTGTGTCATCCCTGTACACAATTGGTATTTACCACAATTTCATGTCATTAAAATATACAACACACATAAGCAATTATTACAAACTATTTCTCTAAAATTTATTCTCAATAAGTTTTCTAGTCACAATATGATTAATAAGTATAGCTCAACTGGTTTGTCCTGCAAAGGTTCATGTTTTAGAATCTGATCCCAGTTAGGCAGTGACTGGACCATGGTGATTGAATCATGGGGCCCTGGCCTCCTGAATGGATTAATGCTTCTGAGAAACAGCTCTCATGAGAAGACGTTAGTCTCAAGGGTGGTTGTGTGAAATGAAAGAGCTGTTTGTGGTTCTTTGTCTCTGCTCACAAATACTATCCTCTCTGTTTCTGCCAGCTATGTTGGGATGGACCCTGACCTCATGTCAGCCTTCTTGGTTTTCCAGCCTTTAGAACCGTGAGTCAAATAAACTTCTATTGACTGATAAATCACCAATCTCAGGTTCTTTCTGTTAGCAACACAAGGTATAATAATAGATACGTCTGTTAGCAACACAATAATGGACTAAGTTAAGTAAAAGAAGGGAAACATATTTCAGGAAAATTACAACTGTTAGATCTGTTTATCTGATTTTAGATAATAAAGAGTAAATATCAGCTTAATGTACCAAAATAAAAGCTGCTCTTTTGTATTACTAACATTTTCTAGAAGCCATCAGCAGAAGCAGAGCGAGAACACAATGTGCACCTAAAAAGGTGTATAAAGGCATACAAAGGATTGGAGCAGTTGTCTAACATGGTATCTCTTTCCTGAAATCTACGCTTTTCAGTTCCAGATGGGTTGTGCGCAAGACAATCTTTAAAAGGGAAGCTTCTTTCCTTAAGAGGAAAGGACAAAAACAGGCAGATGACAGCTACAGCTATCAGTTAAGTTCTCTACTGTGGCAGCAAAGAGAGTCTGAGTCAGCATGGGATCAGAGATAACGTTAAGTTCCAGAGAAATCATTATGTATTCAGTCGACATTAGAATCCATTTCCAAGGCTGATTTACCATGATAGAAGACTGAACACTTAATTTTAAGTATTTCCAAAATGGGTTTGGGAGACTTTTCAACCAGGGAGTTCTTGAAATTCATGTTAAAGGCCTTGGATAATTTTTTTTGGTATAATCTGTTATCCTCTCACTTGAAAGGAATGCATAGAACATAGGCAGAACTCAGAGAACCATCTGAACTTAGTCTTGGAGAAAATTCAAAATAAAGTACAGAATCCTGATACTGCAACATATTATTTCCACTATGTTCTTTGTTGTGTGCCAGAGTTTAGTAGAGGCTCCTCATCTACTCTTACCTTACCACCATGTTTCTCCCATGAGAGACAACAAATACTTTTTTTTTTTTGCTATAGCGTGCGTGCACTCGCCAGACAGAGACATAGAGACAGAAAGCGAGAAATCACCCCCCCCCAAGGGGGGATGGTCATGCTGCAATCCCTTCTCCTCCATTCTCCTCACGGGATCTTGGGCACGCACACACATGCGACTGGTTTGAGTTCTAAGCCACCGGGTCCAGGACGCGAACCACGGTTGACTACGTGAGAGTCCGGCGACATAGCCATTATGCTAACTGCTTGTTCCCTCTTTTCCTTTTTTTAAAAATAATTTTCTTTTTAAATTATTTTAACATTATTTATTTTTATTTGACCAGAGAGGAACAGAGTGAGAAAGAAAGAGTGAGGGAAAGTGAGAAAGCAAGCTGTCAGGTCTGGGACTTGAACCATGGTGAACCATGTTGGAGTCCAGTGCACTTGACCACCATGCCACCTGCCTGGCCCCTGATAGCACTTATTTCTAATCTCTCTTCTCCCTTAACTTTTTTTAGAGTCTGAACCAACTTTAGATAAATCTTTCTGCTATCAGTCAAGTAAGCCACCTGAGTACAGAATTAAAAGAACAACATTTAAACAATTCATGTTATGACCAAAATTCCATCACTCGATACATGATAGGAATAAAGTGAGGCATTTTATTATTTTCAGAGTGATAAGTACATATGATTTAAACATTAGAACAGAACTTAAGGGTTTTTATCACAGGCAGACTTGTCTATTGTTCCTCCCCACACCACTCTAAATTATTTCTTTTTCTTGTTCTCTAGGTTATTTCCCTAACCCTAACTGATAAGCTTATCACTACTTCTTGATTTATTAATGTTTAGACATTATTTACTGATGCTCTATTATAAAAGATAAGGATTTAACTCACTTACATTATCCTTTCCTTCTCTCTTGCCCTATCATCTCTGGTTTTTATGAGTTGTTTAATTACTCCATCAAATTTAGGGGAAAAAAATCTCTTAGCATTCCACTTATAGACACTTCTTGACATGTTCTTTTCATCCATTTAATCTTTCTTTTTCTAAGAATTATTTAACTTTATTTATTATTATTTTTAAAAATTTGACCATAGAGAGGGAGGGAAAATGAGAAAGCAAGCTGCAAGATCCGGGATTTGAACTATAGTCGGCCATGAGGAAGTCCTGCATCCTTAACCACTGCACCAACTGCTGGCCCCCCGTTTCATCTTTCAACCTTCAGAAATATGTTTCTTTCTTTTTAAGAAATTTTTGTTAGAAGGCACATGTGCTCAGCAGATAAAGACAGGGTGGGTGTTGGGGGGGTCAGAAAGTCTACCTTCCCCCATGGGGATGATCACAACACAAGCCCTTCTCCCTCCATTTCTCTTCTTGAGATGATTTTGGGGGTACACACGCACACAAGTCTGGTATGTTTTTCAAGTTGCTGGGTCCAGGACTTGAACCATGTGGTTGGCAAAGAGGATTCCAGCTGTCTTAACGAACAGTTAGTCCTCAGAATATATTTCTACATTCACATATCAGTATCTATTTAAACTGCTATATAGTCTGTTTTGGGATAAGCTTCATGCTAGTTGAATGTTCTTTGTGCCCAAGTCAAATGAAATCCACTTTAATAGTATTTAAAAAGTCTATCATTCAAAATAATGCATATTTTGGTTTGATTCCAAATTTAAATGTCATATATTTTTAAAAATTTCTTGAATGTTTTAGACCTTTTCCTTCTCATTGGAAAAAGAATTCTATCACTTATTGTATTGGGTTGTTGGAAAAGTAATGACATATTATTCTATGTAAAAATGCATCGTGACTTTTCCGATGACCCAATATATCTTCCGTATTCTACAGCTAAATTCTTTTTTTTTTGTTTGTTTCCCAAACAGGATCTGTCATATCATGAGTCTCCTGCCTCAGCCTCCCATCTAGAACTACGGTTGGTACCACCACATCTGGCTCTTTTTAGACAGGGTCTTGGCCATGTTGTCCAGTCTTGAGCATGTGATCCTCCTGCCTTGCCTCCTGGGATTACAGATGCATGATACTGCACTTGGCCTTTAGGTTGGACCAGGAATCAAACCCAGACCCCCGCAAGTGGTCCAACCCGGTGGAGCACAGTATTTTAGCACCACAGGCCACTATGGCTGGGTCTATAATTTCTTATTCTATATACTGCACAGAATTCATCTTTTTTTTTTTTTTGAAGGAGGGGAGTTCCATTATTTCCTATTTTCATTTCAGAGTAATTGTTTTCTAAGCCTGTCAGAAAGCTGTCATAGAATCTTCTCTCTTAGCCTACCTAAGTTAACTTCACCATTCCTTTTACCTTGTTTTTCTCTTTCATGATTTTTATCCTTATCTTTTTAAACAATAATTTTATTTATTATTATTATTTTATTTAACTCACCATCGTTATTAGAGATAAAAAGGGAGGAGGAGAGTGAAAAAGCAAGCCTCCATGTCCAGGGCTTGAACCATGGTCAGCCATGTTGAGAATCTAGCACTCCAACCATCATGCCACTTGCTGGTTCCTATTATCCTTATCTTAATGGAGTACATCTTAGAGTAAATAAAAAGGTATGTGGCTAGGCAAAATTTCAGTTTCTACATATTTAAGAAATTTTATTCTTATTCCTGACTGGCATTTTGGCTGGGTAAAGAATTCTGGGGTTCTGGTTGTAGATGCTTTGTTAAACATGTATGACTGACTACACTTCTGCAGACTATTAAAATGATAACATAACACAAAAGTAAATATGCCCATAAAAATTAAAAGGAGACGCAGAGAAGAGAAGGACTTGAAAATCTGGAAGGGAGCACTGCTCCAGCAGTTCGTGGAGTGGTTAAGGTGCTGGACCTTATGAGGTGCTTAAGGAGCTGGATTCCCAGAAGGTCAGCTGTGTGGTTTGAGTTCTGGGCATGAAAGCTTGGAAACATACTGTGTGTATGTCTGGTGGTGATTTCCCACTTTTCCTCTCTGTCTCTCTCTTGTAAGCATATGTACCCTATGGCAGAAATCATAAAAACAAAAAAAAAACAACAAAAAAAACCCAAAAAAACCCCCAAAACAACAAAAAGAAGAAAAGGGAGCACTGACAAGATTTTTAAAGAAAATTTCTAAGAAATTATACTGCTTTCATATCTTCCCCATTCAACCTCTGCACACCACCTTTACACCTAACTGCTATCTAATTCTCACTTTTGCCACCACAGAAAAAAAAGACTGAGAATATCTCCTTAAAATTGTAGACAAATTGTATAGAGAGTGCCAGGATTGATAAGGTAGGTGTGTGGTATGTCCCTCCCCTACCCTCCACCCTGTCCAAAGGCTATCTTTTATTTTTTTCTTTTCTTTCTTTTTTTTTTTTTTGAGAGATTTTCGCTATTAGGGCATGTGCGCTCACCAGACAGACAGAGAGAGACATAGAGACAGAGAGCGAGAAATCACCCCCCCAGGGGGGATGGTCATGCCACAATCCCTTCTCCTCCATTTTCCTCTTGGGATCTTGGGCATGCACCCACACGCACCTGGCGTGAGTTTTAAGCCACTGGGTCCGGGATGCAAACCGTGGTCGACTACGTGGGAGTCCAGCGACATAGCCATTACGCTAACTGCTGGTTCCCAAGGCTATCTTTTATTTTATGGAAAGAAGTGGGTAGGCTTGATGGCCAATTTCCACTCATTCAGGGAGAACAAAAAATTCAGCTAGGAAAACAAATTTGTAGACACAGTATCAAAAAAATCTCAATAATAGCTATTAAAAATAATCAGTCAAGGTCTTCTCTCCAAAGGTAAAAGGCCTAAACCTCAAAGAAATATGAAGAACAGTTCTAAACGAGAAATACCAGAATAAACACAACACACGATTTTATGTCAAAAAAAAAAATAAGGGGGACCAGCAGTTAGCGTAATGGCTATGCGGATCGCGTCCCAGACCTGGTGGCTTAAAACTCACGCCAGGTGCATGTGCGTGCGTGCCCAAGATCCCAAGAGGAGAACGGAGAAGAAGGGACTGTGGCATGGCTATCCCCCCTGGGGGGTGATTTCTCACTTTCTGTCTCTCTGTCTCTCTCTGTCTGTCTGGTGAGCACACGCGCCCCATAGCAAAAACCTCTCCAAAAAACACCCCCCAAAAAAACGGAAGTCAGAAAAGTAGGAAAGATTATAATCAACAAATCAATCACCTAGTCTACTAACCAACCAAAATAATTAACCTTGGCATTACAGGTGGTGTAATAGTTAAGGCTCTGGACTCCCACATGGCTGACCATGGTTCAAGTCCCAGACCTGGCAGGTGTGTGTGCGTGTGTAAAATTCCATGAAGAGAATGGAGGAGAAGGGACTGTGGTGTGTTCATCTCCCTGGGGGGGTGATTTCTCATTTTATCTCTGTTTCTGTGTTTCAGGCAAGCACATGCACCCTATAGCAAAAATCTCTAAAAAGAAAAAAAATAAAAACAAGAAAACAACTAAAATATCTCAGAGATTTTTTTATTTTCAACAATGGTCAGTTTTTTTAGATAATGTAATAACAGTACAGATAAGAGAAACTGTAATCAAAACACAAAGCATTCATGAACTAAACTAGCATAAGCTTCTACTGCAGCTTTGGTCTCATGTTGTGGCACTCTATCAAATCGTGTGTGAAAAAGAACAGCAACACAAGGAAATAACTTTTGATTTAGATATTTTTGATAATTTGCAATGATTCTCATTCATGTGAGATTCCACTGAACATAGATAGGCTTTCACCAAAATGTACTTCAAAATACCTAGATATTTAAATTTTAGTAAAAACATTTAAATATATTGTATTCCCAAAGTACGATGAGTAAATAATATCCCAAACAAGAGATACAAAATATCTCGCAAAATTGCCAGCTGACTTACCCTGGCAAACTGTACTGAAAAGTGCAGGATCGATGGCTGGCAGAGTCTGTGGAGTGGGCTGGATAGTGTTACTTGTTACACCTGCAAATCAGAAAAGGACAAATGGATACCAAGTGTGATGCCTCTCAATTATATACTAGGATAGCACTTAAAGGATCATGGAGGAATTTCACTGCTTACTTCACTTAATTACTTTCTTGAAATCTTAATGAATTCTAATTTGATATACTTACTTGATATTGGGATCTGGTATAGAAGATATGCAAGAAAATGTATATGAACTGGTTACACATTCTCTAATATGTATTTTGCTTTTTATAACTAATGCTTTAACTTACTTTTCACTTAAATCTTACCAAATATCTGTAGAAGTAATAGACTTCCTAACTATTTTTTAACTTTTTAGCCAATTAAATAATATTGGGAATAAGGTAGGTCATAACTATAACAGTTCTATTTATCAGGAGAGTCTATGTCATCATTTTGCATGAAATTATAAAGTTATATGTTCTGAATTTTCTTTAAGATATTTCATACATTCAATAAACAATTAGTTTTGACTTCCTGTTAGAACTTGTTAAAACTATCACATTCAATGAATAACTAGCATTTTTGATTAATGATATGTAATACACTATAGTTGAAGATTATTAATCATCTAAAAGATAACAGAAAGTATTTAAATACCCCCTACTAAATGACTTAGTCACAAGGAAAACAAAGGAAGAAAAAGGTGACTATTCCATCTCAGGGCAAAGTCTCTTGAAATAGGGATAACCTACCCCAAACTAAAAGATTAAATTCAAATAGGCAATCTGTAGAAAGAGTACAGTAGGAAAAACACTGGATGAGAAAAGGAAAGCAAAGTGAGAAAGTGGGAAGTTTCGAGAGGTACATATACATAAACAATGTGGCTCTTTTCATTGCAAGTCCAAGGGAAAACAAAAATTTAAATATAGGGAACCAGCAGTTAGTGTAATGGCTGTCGCCAGACTCCCACATAGTCGACCGCGGTTCGCGTCTCGGACCCGGTGGCTTAAAACTCACGCCAGGTGCATGTGCGTGAGTGCCCAAGATCCCGAGAGGAGAATGGAGGAGAAGGGACTGCAGCGTGACCATCCCCCCTGGGGGGTGATTTCTCGCTTTCTGTCTGTCTCTCTGTCTGGCGAGCACATGCACCCTATAGCGAAAAAACCTCTCAAAAAAAAAAATAAATATAGACAATTTTACTTCATTTATTTTTGTTTTAGGGCGAACTACTTTTATTCACAGTATCTGGAACTATTAACCTTACCTTTCTTTCTTTTTCTTTTTTTTTTAAGAGAGTGACAAAGAAACAGAAAGCAAGAAATCACCCTCCAGAGGGGATGGCCATGTTACAATCCCTTCTCCTCCATTCTCCTCTCGGGATCTTGTTCATGAATGCACATGTACCTGGTGTGAGTTTATGCAACCAGGTCTAGGACTCGAACAGCAGTCGACTACATGAAAGTCCAGAGACATAACATTACATCATCTGCTGGTACTGCCTTTTTTTTTTCTTTTAAGAGAGATTTTTGCTATATAGGTATATAGGGCACGTGGACTTGCTGGAAAGACTGAGACACTGAGACAGACAGACAGAAAGCCAGAAAGCGAGAAATCACGTCCTAGGAGGGATGGCCACACTGCAATCCCTTTTCCTCTAGTCTGCTCTTAAGAGGTTTTGGGCACGCACTCACATTGCCTGGTGTGAGTTTCAAGCCTCTGGGTCTGGGACTTGAACCATGGTTGGCCATGTGGGAGTCCACTCAGGTAACCATTACGCCATCTGCTGGTCCCCAAAACCTTGGTTTTTAAAACTCATACGAATTTTTAAAAGTACAAAGGGATACAAATGAAAAATAAAGTATAAATTTTAAATAGTACAAAAAAATATATAGATGGAAGCCTGACTCTCATTCCTATTCCAAGCCACTTCCGCCACATTCTAAAGTACCCTTCCATGCACATATATATGTATGTGTCCAGTTCAGCTTCCTTATTTAGGTTGTTATTTGCTAAGAAATTTGTGCCTTTGCCTAAATTAACACCTTCCAAACTCCTTTCTCTACTGAGAAGGCATACTGCTTGTGTGCTTTGTAAATGGTAATATGTTCTGCATACTATACTACTCTGTTGATTTTTTCACAGTATGTCGTATGTCTAAGAATAATTCCAAATTAATAAATATAAATCTACCCTCTTTTCATTTTTATTTCTTTGTTTCAAAGTGTATATGTGTGTTGAGGACAGACAGGGTCTCACCATGACCCTTCCTCCAGCCTTCTAGCCAGCCAGGTTGATGGGTGCACCTGGGACTCAAGTTGACTCAAGATCTGAAACTGGGCCTCCTATATGGCTCCAGTATTATAGAGCAGCAGAGCCTTATTGCCTATGCCACCAAGGCTGAGCCTGCCTTATTCCTTTTAATGACTACGTATCATTCTGTTATATACGTATATACAATTTATAAAGCAATCCATTGTTGATAGACATTTAGGTTGTATCCAAACTTTGCTACTACAGTGAATGCCACAGCAAATACTCACATATGTGTCTATGTGAATAAACATACAGAAACTTTTATAGAAGTGTAATTGTATTTTTT